AAAAACTTTTTGAAACTTCTTTTGTTTTTATTTTTACACTGTAAAAATAAATTTGCAATTTTCTCTATTATGTGGTTAATTTTTTGGGGGTTTTTATTTCCCCCTATTTATTCATGCTTTTGAATTGCAATATAGGACCTTGATGGAGGAGCAGATCTTTCAGGTCTGAAACCTGATCACTTGATGGTGCTTTTGGCTTTTTTTTATATATATATATATATACATTATTTAATTTTTTATGTATATTAATTTAATTTGTTTCATTACTTTAATATCATTATATTTAATGTTTTAATTTAATAATTTTTTTATTTATGTTAATTAAATTTGTTTCATTCATTCATTCATTCATTTTCTTGTCGGCTTAGTCCCTTAATTAATCCGGGGTCGCCACAGCGGAATGAACCGCCAACTTATCCAGCAAGTTTTTATGCTGCGGATGCTCTTCCAGCTGCAACCCATCTCTGGAAAATAAATTTGTTTCATTTACTTACTTATTTGAATGTTTTTATTTTATTGAATATTTTTATTTATATGAATTTAACTTATTTTGTTTCATTTACCTAAATTAAATTCTATCTAATGTTTTTATTTTATTTTATTTTTTAAATTATATAAATTAAATTTTATTTGTTTCATTTACTTTATGTAATTATGTTTAATGTTTTTAAGTTATTTTATTTTTTAAAGGTATATTAATTAAATGTGTCTCATTTGCTTTAATTATATTTAATGTTTTAATGTTATTTTATTTTTAATTTATATTATTTTAATTTAGTTGCACCACTTTAATTTAATTATATTTAATGTTTTAATTTTATTTAGTTTTTTATTTATATTAATTCAATTTTGTTTTATTACTTAAATTTAATTATATTTAAGGTTTTAATTTTAATTTAAAATTTAATTAAATTTATTTTACTTTATTTAAATTAATTAAATTTAGTTTCTTTACTTAAATTTACTTAAATTTAATTATATTTAATGTTTTTATTTGATTGCATCTTTTAATTTATAATAATTTAATTATGTTTAATTACTTTAATTTAATTATATTTAGTGTTTTTATTTTAATTTAAAATTGAATTTAATTTTGAATTTATTTTATTATTATTATTTTTTATTTTTTTTACTTTTTTTCTTTGATTTATAACCTTTTTATACGTAATTTTGCAGTGTTCATGTCAGCAACAACCCAAACTTAGCCTCCCACACAAAAATATCTCACATTCCCCGAATGCAATACAAAAGCAGACAGGACAAACCCAGTGTTTAAAGCTCAGTTCATCAGGCCCCAAGAGAGCACTTAAAGCTCAAATACGTGAAAACCGCAGGACATACAGTACACAGTGTGCCTTGTTAAAGACATTTACTCTATATAAACACTCATACAGTAGTCAAGTGCGCTTTATTCACACATGCAGTGAAATTATTTCTCCTCTCAGCTTCACACACAACAATAAGTTCTGCTGTTGACAAAAACAACACTCTGCAGTAATTCAGTCAGATGTGCATATTTCATGAAGCATCTCATTAGCATAAGGCAGCATATAGAATAGTGATTATTGTCTCAACATTGGCACGAAAGAGTGTCATTTAGAGAGAAAGAGAAAAAAAAGTTGGACGCCGAGCAGTTTGTGCATATTCATAACACCGACAGTCATTATGATCAGCATGATTGCTTGCGGATTCATGCCAAATAATGTTCATTTCATGAAACTGTCGGCTAAAAGTACTGTGAGAGAGAGAGAGAGAGAGAGAGAGAGAGAGAGAGAGAGAGAGAGAGATGTATTTTGTCTTTTTTAATGCAGGTCTTCAATGAAAGGGAGGGGATTTAATTTGCGGCGTTAATTGACATTTAATTTGGACTCTTGTTGCTCTCATTAAACTGTCTGTCATCAGTCACTCAATAAATGTCTCCTGCTCTGCTGAGATACACTGGCATATTTAAAATTAAAGCAGGACATTGTTGTGTGATTATTGTGTTATCTGGAAAGCTCAGGGAAATTTGTGTGTGTGTGTCGTGTTTGTGTTTTTCCTCGTGTCGCTTTGTTGAATTAATAAATGTGCAACAAACTGAAGAGTAAATGCTGTTGAATACTACCAGAGCTCACTACCTAGTGAATACTGATGAGTGCACTGAATAGATGAAGATGGCATAGAAACGGTTTCGCTGTGAAATTAAGAGTGAATCTCACAAAGAGATGGAAATATTTGATTGAAGATGAAATTTAGAAGTGATGTTTCATGACATTTTTAAATATAATATTTTAATAAGTCCTTTCTAACTCTTTTTTTTTTTTGCCTTTGCATGATTATTTTACAGTACATAATATTTGACTCGTTTTTGTGTAAGAAACTAGTATTCAAGTGTAATTCAAATAATAATGAAACAAAATGCATTTCAAATTATAAAATAAATGTAAAATAGATAAAAAATAATACAATAATAATAATAATAATAATAATAATAATAATAATGAAATATAAAATAAATGTAGAAAATATAAAATTAAATAAAATTAGATGCAAAAATAAATAAAATGTAATAAAATAGTAATAAAGATAATAAAATAAAACAAAAATGAATAAAAATAATAAATTAAAATAAAATGAAATATAAAACAAATGTTAAAATAATAGAATAAAATAATAAATGCTTAAAAAATAAATTCATAGAAATAATTAAAACAATAAAATGAATAAATAAAATTACAAATAATAAAATGAAATATAAAATAAACAAATAAACAAAATAAACAAAATAAATAAATATTACAAAATAATAATGAAAAAAAAATGATAGAATAAAAAAAATAATAAAATAAAATAAAATAAAAAAAAATAAAAAAATAACAAATTAAAATAAAATAAAATGTAAAACAAAATTAAAAATGATAACATTAAATTGAATTAAATTTGAGTTGAGTAAAATAGGTCTGAAATATCTTTATATTGATAAATTAATGAGTTGTTTTCTGAATTATAAATAATTATGATTGTTTATAGGAGTACAGTATATATCATATCTAATTTAGTTACATCAATTTTTTTTTAAATAGACCAAACAAATTTAACTCTACAGTTTAACAAAGTGACATTTTAGAAGTAAACAACAACAACCAAGAAAATATATCACTTTAAACAAATAAAACTTTTCATAAATGTCACTTTTTCCGACTTTTCAAGGTTAAAAGTTGTTTGAATAAAGATCAAGCTCCCATATTGCAATTCAAAAGCAGAAATAAATGGGGGAAAATAACGTGATTCAATAACGTGAATCACAAAATACAGAAAACTGCACATTTACAGACATTTTTGACAGGAGTTCTGAAGCCATATATCGTTCACCTTATTTTGACAGTGTTTTCTCTGACCTGTTGTTCAGTCGTATTTATCACACACCGCAGCTCTGTAATCTGTCTGCTTTCTGTACGACCAGGTGCATCATTTTCCCATCGCTCTGAAAAGCGTTATAAAAGCGGATTGGATTTCATTTACAGCAGTCTATTAATTCCTGTCTGACAGCAGGAGGCATGGACGGCTCCAGGTCTTGCTAATTCACCTTGCCCGGACACACACACATACACACGCCTTTTATTTATCTATCATAGTGTCACAAACTGCGGCCTGATTCTTCTGCAGGCGCTCAGATGGTTATAAGAGAAATAATCGGCGAGCCAAATTCAATTTACGCACAACAACAGCTGGAATATTTGTTCCTGATTTTCCTTTGGCCGTCTCCAGAGAGGGGGATGGAAATGTTTGTTTGCTTTTTGCTTTAAACGGGCAGAAAATGTGCAGATAAGATGGTCAATGCTGAGATCTCCTGCAGGATTTGAGGAGGTGATTATTCTGATGAATGACTACATTTGAGGAGCATTAAAGCAGCGGTTTATTAAACAGAATATGAGAAAATGTACAGTATACAAGAGAG